GAGCCGCCCCGGCCGCGCCCCTGAGACGCGCGAGTCCCGTGCACGCGCCCTGGGCGCAGAGCCCCAGCCCTGGGACGACCCCGCGCGGCCCGACGATGGTGAGGCTGCCCGGAGGGCCAGGCGGCGGGAGCTGGCGCGGAGAAGGCCTGTAACCCCACTGCCCTCCTGCGTCTCCCACAGCGCCCCTCGTCCTCTGGCCAGGATTCTCCAGGGCGTCTCACATGGGCCGGCTCCGCAATGCCAAGATCCACGTGGAGAAAGCTGTCAAGGTCGGCGGGGGGGGGGGGGGGAGCGAGGACAGACGGGACCGGGGAGAGGGTGTTATCCATCTACCTATCCATCTATCTATCTATTTATTTATTATCTTTTTCAAGACAGGGTCTCATAGCCTGGCCTTGAACTCACTTTGTAGCCCAGGCTGGCCTTGAACTCGCAGGGATTCTCCTGCCTCAGCCTCCGCAGTTCTGGGATTACAGGCGTGTGCCACCATGCGGGCTACACCACGTGCTATTTTGTCACATCTTTAAAAACCAAAACAAGGGGCTGGGGATTTAGCTCAAGGGGCTGGGGATTTAGCTCAAGGGGCTGGGGATTTAGCTCAGTGGCAAAGCGCCTGCCTTGCAAGCACAAGGTCGTGAGTTCAGTTCCCGGTACCGGAGAAAAACCAAGGCTACACCTGTAGCCTTGACCCCTGGCCCCATACCCATCTGCAAGTACCTCCCATTTTCACTCCCCTCCAGGGCCGAACTTCCTGGTAGAGTTGTCTGTGCTATTCTCCCCGTCTGCATCTGATGCACAGCCCTCTGCTCGCTCCTCTGGTTGCCTGCCCTTCCCACCCACTCCCACCAGAATCTACTCCTTAAGAGTCCATGGTGACCTTCAGGAGCCAAATCCAGTAGGCCTGGCCTCTGCCTGCACATAGCACAGAGCACCCTAAATCTGCTCAGGGGTGTACAGCATTTCAGACCCACATCTCAAACCACACCGACTCCCCTGCTGAACCTGACTTCTACCCCAGTCTCTGCTTCCCCATGTCATGGATGCTTAACCCAGAAATCCAGTCTTTCTGCTCCTTCAGCCCCTCTGTAACCCTGTCAGCGAGTCCTTCATCACCTTTACCTGTTTTGGCACCACAAGCCCCAAATCACCTCCAGCCCTCTCACCTTCCATCTCCCTGTAACCTCACTTATCCAGCTCTGCAAGTCTGTGACAAGGGCCTTCTAAGTGGCTGCCCGGTTTCCCCTTCTGCTCTCCAGATTCCACGAGACAAACTTCCCAAGCCTCCAATGTGTGTGCCTGCATTTCTCTTTATTGCTGCCCACCACATGTAGTATAAAGTCCAAGTCCAGGTTCAGGGCCTGCAGCCACACCGCCCTTCTCGGGAACTGCCCTCCTCTCCTGACCCCCTCACCGTGCCCTGCTTTCTGTTCCTTCTGTGCACACACTTCTTTTGCCTGTGTGCATGGGTGGCTCCTTTTCGTCCTTCCCTAGCTGTGCATTTCTCAGTGTGTCCCTGAGTCGCCAGTGTTCAGTCTGGAACCAGCCTGCCTGGATTTAGATCCCTGCCCCTGAGGGCATGTGCTCAGCCTCTGCAAGAGCCTGGGTTCAATCCCCAGCATAAAAAGAGAGAGATCCCTATGCTTTCACTTAACCACAGGGGTGGCCTTGGGCCAGCTGCTTAATCTGTGTAAGACAGAGGTGACAATATCCACTAAATATGTATATTTTTTTTGAGACAGAGTCTCACTATGTAGTTCAGGCTGGCTTTGAACTCACTGGGTAGCTGGCTGCCTGGAATTTGCAGCAATCCTCCTGCCTCAGCCTCTAGAGCTCATCAATAAATATTATTTTCCCATCAGCATGGTACTGTGCACATTCCCCTCCATGTTTATAAGCCATCTCTCCTGGTGGACTATAACTCTCCTGCAGAAGCAGGGGACTGAAGCTGTAACTGCTTTACCACCGTGTCCCCTCTCCGGCCCTCAGACGATGCTTATTGACAAAGTTCCATCTTTCACCTTATAGCAGAAGAAGATCTTTATGATCCAAGGCCGCTACCCAGTGATCCGCTGTCTCTTACGCCGGAGGGGCTGGGTGGAGAAGAAGATGGTTCACCATGTAGGCGCCACCCTGCTGCCCCGCCAGAAGGATGTGGAGAGCTCAGTGGTGGGTGATAGCGACACTGCCCCAGATGGTGAGCAGTTCCCTCCCTGTCTGAAAGCTGCCTCCCCTGAGTCTTCTTCCTTTGTCCCGCTGCCCCTGAGTTGAGGCTTTGGGGCAGGCACGAGTCTCATCGGGCCTGGGCTCTCTATCCACAGAGGACGAAGAAGAGGACGAGACAGTCCAACCTTCACAGCTGGTTGACTTTGATGGCTTTCTGGAATTTGATGACTTGGACGGGACACATGCTTTAATGGTGAGGGCCCTAGTGGCCGGGGTGAGGCAAGGTGCTGGCAGGAGCCTTCCCAAGTGGACAGAGAGTACAGGTGTCCAGCTGGGTGACCTCAGACAAGTTTTTTCCCTGGTCTCGGTTTCCCTAGCTATATGAAGATGGATTGCTTCCCTAAAGGCTGGATAGGCCTGCAGAGTGCTGAGGGGGCGTATCCCATGTGGCCATTCTCCCATCCTAGTGAAGGCTCCTTGCTCATTTCCCTCCACCCTTGGCAAGTGAAGCTGAGGGACAGACTTGAGAGCCCTGGGAGGCCGGCATGGCAGTGTGGAGCCGTGCACATTGGCGAGGACGTGCATGGGAGTTGAGTTCAGAGCATGGCACTGCTGCTCACTAAGTTGAACTCTATGAACTTGGATTTGTTGTTACTGTTATTGTTGTTGTTTTTTGGTGCAGGGAACCGAACTCAGGACCTTGCACTTTGCTAGGCAGGCACTTGTGCCACTGAGCTAGATCCCCTGTTTTGTTGTTTGTGAGACAGGTTCTCTATGTAGTTCAGGCTGGCCTTGATCTCACTGTGTAGGATAGAAGTCTTCCTGCCTCAACCTCCTGAGTGTTGGGATTAAAGGCATGTGACCCCTCCCAGCTGACACTGCCATTTCTGTGTCAGGAAAGATGGAATACTGGCATTTTTCTGCAGTTCAGCTTTGTGAAGTTGGGCAGTTACCCTCTGCATCCCTCACCTCTCTCACCTGGGAGATGGGGGTTATGGTATACCCTGCCTCACAGAGTTTGGGTGAGGATCAAGACATGGAGAGTGCTTAGCAAGGCCCGCCACACGGTGTTACTGGCTATTCACACTCCCAGGGCTGCAGGAAGGACAGACTGGGGTCGGTGAGAAGGCCTTAGTCACATGCTGTGTGCCCATCTGCTTGCACTATGTCCTGCCACTGGGCAGATCCGTGGTGGCCATGGGGTGAAGGGGTCCTGTTCTCACAGCTCAGTCACAGCTCTGTGCCCATTGAGCTGGCTGCCTCTGCTTCCCAAGTATGGGCCCTGGAAGGGATGTCTGCCCATGCCTTGCACAAAGCTGGTGTGTGCCCCAGGACACCCGGGAGCGCTCTCTCCTCCCTGCTTACTTCCCCATATCCACCTCCTCCTCCTTCCAGTCCCGCATGGTTCGGAATGAAACCCCCTACCTTATCTGGAGCACTCGGCGGGACGTGCTGGACTGTCGCTTCCTCGCCAAGGATCAGATGATAAACCACTATGCCCGCGCTGGCTCCTTTACCACGAAGGTTGGCTCCCGGGCATGGGTGAGGCAGCATATACCCCAGCCCTGGACTGGCAGCCCATGTGGCTCTCTGAGCCTGCAAGGGAATTCTTGGGAGAGCAGGAGCTTCATGCCTCAGTGAGGCAGGGAGTCATTGGCATGCTTGGGTTCAGCTCCAAGCCTCACAGAATATCTGGCCCCTGTAGAAAGAGTGACAGAAATGGGCTCAAGCATTCATGTGGGACCTGGAGCCAGAGCAGATCCCACAGCCCATGACCATAAGCAGGAACTCCCTGTCCTCCTGAGCAGGGCAAATGTCGCTGACAGCTCCATTCTGGCTTACCTGAGTTTCTTAGCAAGTTGCTTCACCTCTCCCACCTTTGGTTTTCTTATCTCTATTTATTTAGGTTTTTTAAGTTAGGGTCTGGCTGTGTAGTTGAGGTTGGCCTTGAACTCACTGTGCAGCCCAGAATGGCCATAGCACACTTCCTGCTTCAGCCTCCTGAGTGCTAGCATTATAGGCATGCACCACCAGGCCTGGCTCAAGTTTTCTCATCTTTCCGTGAGAATCCTTGTGAGGCCTGCCTGCAGGCATATGGTGAGGGTGAAGGGTTTTCTCTCGGGAGTTTTTATCATGTCATTGGTGTGGGCTGGGAAGGGTCACTGAGGAGGCAGTTCTTCACAGAGGTCAAAGGACAGACTGAAGGGCTTGGGGTTCCTTGGCAAAAGCAGCCACTGGGGCAGGCAGGCAGACAGATCTGAGCAGGGTAGGCCCAGAGCCTCTGTGTGGAAGTCCCCACCCTGCCTGCCTCAGCAGCTGACTTCACAGGTAGGGCTGTGTCTCAACCTCCGGAATCTGCCGTGGTTCGATGAAGCTGATGCTGACTCCTTCTTCCCGCGCTGCTACCGCCTGGGTGCTGAGGATGATAAAAAAGCCTTCATAGGTAAGGCGGGCCCGGGCCATGACTGAACCCTCAGTTGGAGAACAGGGCCTCATGCTCCAGCTTGCTGGAGAGCAAAGGCCTCTCCTCATACCCTCGTCTGCCTCCACAGACCTTCTCCCCTCTCCCTGCCCTTCCTTTCCTTAATATGCTTTCTGTGTGAGCCTGCTGGCCTGGCCACCGCAGACCTCCAGAAAAGCTCAGAGAGCTCCTATTCTAGACCAGGCTCTAGAAGTCATGCTTAGAACCCAGCATAGATTCCAGGCCTTTGATAGGTTTTACTGGCTGGATCTGGTTCTGAGGAAAGGTTGTTGGCTGTGGGTTCCTAAGGCAGAATAGGTTCCAAGACCAAACTGTGTTCTAAATTCAGTTCAGAATTTGGAACCAGATTAGGTGCTGTGTTTCAGATTGTATTCCACATCTGAAATAGTTTGGGTCAAGGTCAGAGTCTCAGACTAGAATAAGCATCAGAGTAGATGAGGAAAACCAAGTCTAGGCCAGATTGCAAAGAGAATATTTGCCAGTTCTGGTCACATTCTGGGTCTGATTCTATAACTGAAACAGGAGCCAGATTTAGAGATAGAAAAGGTAAAGTTAGGTTCTGGATCCAAAATGGGGCAAGTCATGATCAGGTTCCAGAACCAGGACAGGCCTCGAGCCTAGGGGCTGAGCAGGGTATCCCCTGCCCCGGGAGCAGAGGACTTCTGGCTGACAGCTGCCCGCAACGTTCTCAAGCTGGTGGTGAAGTCGGAGTGTAAGCCGTACTCTGTCCAGGTGGAAGGGGAAGAGGCCACAGGTAAGTGGTGTGGCAGTTCCACTCTGTTGCCCCTTACGCCCATACTTCCGCCCATCTATCACCACTCGTCCACATAATATCTGTATTCATGCAGCTCCCTAGCACCCTGTCCATCCATCTACCCCACCGCCTCATCATCTATTCCCTCATCTGCTTGCCTGTCCACCCACACCTCCCTCCCTTCATGTGCTCGTCCCTTCCCACCCATCCGCCCACGGTTGGTCTTCTCATTCACCTGCCCGAGGCAGCTCCATGCTCCCTCTTCACCCTTCCTGGCTGTCTTTGCACAGGTCCACCTGCCCCTGCACCTGCTCTTCCTTCTCTTTGTCTCCCATCTCCCACCTGTCTGTGTCCCTCCTCCACACCTGCTTGCCTTCCTGTCCCCTTGTTCACCCCTCTCCTCCCTGGACCTGCTATGGAGGTGAGCTTGGATGGACGGGTGCAGAAGATGTGGTCTACCCCTGCCTGCAGGACTCCTCTTAGGAGCAGGTGTACAGGTGTCCCAGTGACATGGGGAACATGTGAAGTAGAGAGCACACAGGAGACCCCTTGATGCATGCCAGCCCAGCCCATTGCTCACCCTTCCTCTCTCTAGGCTTAACTCCTGTCCCTAACCCCCAGTCCTGTAATCCAGGCTCATCAACCAGGAATTCAGGGAAGTAAGGGGCAGCACTCCAGAAAAGAGAGGCATCACTGCCTCTTCCAAAGGAGACCTTGCATTGCTGTCTCCTGGCCTGGTGCAAGGAAGACTTTGTTGTGTACCAGGAACAGGAGCGCAGGGGCTCCTGTGAGGCAGACTCTGCACCTCACCTTGTGTGGTGGTGGGTTTGGGCGTGGGCCAGGGTACAGCAGTTGAGGGCCTTCATTGTCCAGCAGGATTTGGGGAGCCCTGAGATGTCCAGGGGAGTTAGAGCTTTGGGTGAGGGGTCAGTTCTTGACGTATTGCTCTAAAATGTGTGATTGCGCATGTCGGTCAGCGCTGTGGTAGCTCAGGACCCTGGGAATGAGTGCAGCTCTGGTGGACTGGGACTTAAGCGGCCATCTCAGCTTTGGTATCCTGTATACGTGGATCGCCTAGGCCAGTGGTGGTGAACCTACAGCACGCATGTTACCTATTTTTCTTCTAAGACAAAAGGCGTTCCCCGGGCGTGGTGGCACACGCCTATAATCCCAGCACTCAGGAGGCTGAGACCAGAGGATTGTTGCAAGTTCAAGACCAACCTGGGTTACGAAGCGAGGTCAAGGCCAGCCTGAACTGCATAGCAAGACCCTGTCTCAAAAAGACAAAAAACAAAAACCAAAAAAAGAAAAAAAGACAAAAGATGTTAATGTGGAGTTGTTTTTTCTAAATTGAAACGTCAGTATTCAGGTTTCATTGCAATGTCCCAATAAATAAGGGGTGTTGCCGGGCATGGTGGCGCACACCTGTAATCCCCGCACTTGGGAGGCTGAGGCAGGAGGATCCTTACAAGTTCGAGACCAGCCTGGTTAGGGGGTGTTGGGTTCCAGGTTGGGCACTGGTCTCTAAATGGCTAGCGGTCATTGGCCTAGTCCAGGGCATCTCGGGATAACAGGGCCTCGGATGTGTCCAAAGTGGATGCAGGTGTGTGCTATGGAAATCTTGGGGACATTGGGGTGGAGCCTGGAAGGGCTAAGGGGGCCAAGAGTGAAGCACTTGGATTGCGGATGATTTGGGACAAAGCCTCAGGTGAGCAGCGATGCTGAGGCAGCTGGGGATCCAGGCTCACCTGGACCTCAGGTGTCTTTAGGAGAGGCCCAGGGTAAATGACAGGCCCCCAGGCAGTAGGGACTATGGCATGTGACACATTGCCTGTGGTGGAGGGGGACAATGAGAGGCCCCTTCTTATCTCTGCAGGAGATAAGCAGCCTAAGAAACAGGAGAAGAAACCAGTGGCGGTGTCCCCAGAGTTTGTGGACGAGGCCCTGTGTGCATGTGAGGAGCACCTCGGCAGCCTAGCCCATGCGGACATTGACAAGGACACTGAGGCCCCACTGTACCTGAGCCCTGAGGGCTGGGCGCTGTTCCTCCAGCGGTATTACCAGGTGGTCCAGTGAGTACCCTGAGCCAGGGTCACAGGCAGGTGGCCAGGGACATGCCACCTCCCTGCCTGCCCTTTTGTCCTGCCATGCTCCTGCTCAGGAGCCCTGGAGGGCTCCCACCGCCTCCAGACCACTTCTCCCGGCTCTGAGCACAGCATGGCCCTGAGACTGGGGCCTGAGGTGTCAGGCAGACTTGGAGTTGAGTCCGAGCTCTGGACCTTGAGAACACATCACTCATTTTCTGAACTTTCCTTTTCTCTAATGCAAATTAGATTTAAAAATAATGTCTGCCTGGAAGGTGGGGTAAGAGAATGCTTTGTAGGTGTGTGCTCAGCATGGCCCATGTGTGACTGGAGATGCTAATTGCTCAGGAAGAAGGGCTGTAGTTCTCAGTCAGGTTTGGAAAACATGGGGTTGAGCAAGAGTTGACTAAATAGGTCTCAGGGGTGTGGGCCTCTTGAGAACCTATTGGTAGTGTGAAGCCTGGGAGACTAGAAGTGCTGGAGGTGCGGAGTGGTCCCGGGCAACTGAGGGCCCTGTTTGCATACCTGGAGAAGGCTCCGGAGCGTTGGGGCAGGAGCAGGTGGAGCCCAGTGCTTCTGCTGGAAGGAGCCCTGAGCCCAGGCCTGTGTGAAGAACGAGTGGTGGCAGGAGACAACTCAGTAAGGACTTCCTGGGTGCCAGGCAATGTGCATGAATGAACTTTGAATGGAGACTAGTGTCTTCAGGAAATAATTCATCTGTGTCTTCCGAATGTCAGAAAATGACTAGGTAACCCTGTACTTTTCCTGGAACTGGGGACTGAATGCCTTTATACAGAGCTACTCCAGGCCTTTTTTGTATTTTATTTTGACATGAGGTCACCCTTTGTCACTCCGTTGCCCTGGTGGGGCTAGAACTTGTGACCCTCCTGCTTTAGCCTCCCGAAGTACTAGGATTACAGATGTGAGCCACCACTCCAGGCTCCAAGTAACCTTTCTTAAATTGAGAGTTATCAGGCTGAGTTGGAACATGAGGCATAAAGCATGTGAGTCCTTTTCTACTCCTAGCATATGGGCAAGTTCTCGAGCGCTATCAGAACCTCCTAAAAGTCAGCGCATGCAAGCTGCCACCTCCTATGAGAGAAAGGCTCAGTCCTGACTGACTCAGTGCAGGTAACTAGCATTCATTCATTCAGTATTTACCTCTGGGCTTTCCAGCTTTTATTTATTTATTTTTTGGTACTGGGAATTGAACTTAGGACCTTATGCTTGCCAAGTAGGCGCTTGTGCCACTGAGCTATATCCCTGGCACTTCTCTGCTTTTTAAAGTCAGTCCATGCCAGGTATGGTAGCATACACCTGTAATTGAGTGCTCAGGAGGCTGAGGCAAGAGGGCCACTGTGAGTTGGGAGCCAGCATGGACTACGTGGTGAGACCCTGTTTCAAAACAAAACAAAAGTTTAGGCCTCACCAATGAAGTTTTTATAAAGGTATGGCTTCCCAGAAAAGACCTGTTTTTATTTTTTATAATTTGCTAAATATAAAATATTAATATTATTTTTCAGATTACTTGTTCCACTACAGAAATGTACACATTTCTGGGTCACAGCCCAGATCTATTGGGCAGACTGCTTATGCCATGGAGAAGGTTGGGAAGAATGTGTTGGGTTTAGATGTAGATATTCCTGGGCCACTGTCTTGGTTATTTTGTTGTTGTTGTTGGGACAAAATATCTGACGCCCAAAATTAAGGAAGGAAAGGTTTATTTTGCTTACAGTTTGTGGAGGTCTTAGTCTGTATTTGGCAGATTACAAGGCAGAGCGGCACATGGCAGAGAGCTACAGCTCAGGGTGGCAGATCACAGCTAAAGCAACAACCACACACCAGGGCAGAATGGGGGAGGAATGGCCTCAAGCACCCTTTTTCTCTCCCTTACATATGCAAACTGTCCACCCCAGGGCGGGTGCAGCTCTCACACCTCTAACAAATCAAACTCTAAAAGCCTGCCCCATGGCCGCATGAGGCTTTGGGGGGACACACAGACCATAACATTCCACCCCTGGCCCCACAAAGACTCATGCCCATCCCTTTATACAAACAGCATTTAGTCCGTCTGCAAGAGTTGCCAAAGTCATGACAGTTGCAGCATTGCTGAAAAGTCTAAGTCTCAAGTCTCCTCTGACATGTAAGGCAAGCTCTTAGCTGTGAGCCCCTGTATAAATGAAAAGTTAAACATTTTTAACATTTAATGGCACAAAATAAGCAGTACCATTCCAAAAGGTACACACAGGGGGATACAGAGCATTGGGACCAAAGCAAGTCTAAAATCTAGCAGGGCTAACATTATGTCTTGTAATTTTACATGTAGCATCTGAAGCAACTTGTGGCACATTGTGAGCTCTAAAGGGCTTGCATGAGTCCACCCCTGTGGCATTTCTGGTGGTTATAGCTTTTATGACTTTTTTTTTAGGCCTGATTTGCTCCCTCCTTGCAGCTTTTTTTAGACAATCTATACTCTTGGCTTTTTTAAACTTTTGCGGTTTCTAGGGCACCTTTTGTTTTATACTCACAGCCTCACACACTGCCCTCTCAGGGGCACACTGCCTGGCCTCCCAGGCCTTTGAAATCTGGGTGGAAGCCTCTTTAACCTCAGAACTCTTGTATTTTTTATGTATTTAAAGCCAGGGCCATGTGGATGGTGTCAAGGTCTACTGCTACCTGGAGCAGTAGCCAAGCTTTTTTCTCTGTTGGCCACAGGGGTCGAGTGCCTGGATCACTGGGCACTCTGAATCTAATTTTGAGGAACAGATCTTTTATGCTGCCGCCATTTTGGAACCTGGGGTGGCCGCCGCTGCCATTCTGGAACATGGCACTCAGCGGCTTTTTTTTTTAAGGCAAGGTCTTTTATCTTTGTCCTTTTGAGGCTGTAAAGGGTGGAGACTTGCTGCTTGTGATGCCCTCAGGCCATCTTTTTTATTTTCTTGTTTCTTTTCAGCAAGAGAGATCTCTTTAGCCTTATCTTTGCAGTCTACAGCATTATTGGAGCTTTTTTTCTGGCCAAACTCACAACGTTTTAAATCATCCTGCTGGGCTCTTTGTTTTTGATTTTCAATATAAATCTGGCTAAAAGCCCCCAACAATAGCCATGCCACTGCCCCAAAATCTGACTGCCTTGAAATTTTTTTTGCCAGATTAACCAGTCTGCTGC